GTGATTGGTAAGAGCCTGTCTCTTCATCAGAACTCAGACTTTACAAGTACATCCTGTATATAAGAGCACTGGTTCTGAGACAAGAGGCCTTTCACATCAAGAGCTTTGTTGCTTGAAAGCATTTCTGGTTGATATTCTCCCAGTTACCTCCCAGTCAGACAGCCACTGAATGTTGCTTGAAGAAAAAAATTACCTTATCACTTAGTTTGGGGGGCCTAACCAGACCTCTGTGATGATGCTTGAGGAAAATTAAAATATTACCACAGGACTTAGGCAAGGTTCTGAGTTAAATTCATGCTTTCTACCTCAAAGAATATATTTCTTTAAGGGCACCAAGTGGACCTTATGCATTTTCATGCATAGTGGTGATAGGTAGGTGGTGATAGGACCAACTATGGAAGAGTCTTTAGTTTTAGTCAGTTCTTTTCCAGCTTTCCATATAAGAATTCAAGATACATAGGCCTATACTAACATCTTACCAAATTGATCATCCCGTAAGAAATATATATATACGATTACATATGATTGGGTGCATGGTTCTTTTCCACAAGGTTATTTTCTCTAATTCCTACATATAAGAGGCATTACCATTCTGGGGGAGCATGTTTGGCTAGTTACCCAAAAATATATAGGAAAAAGAGAGGGGAGAAGGGGAGAGTAACATTTCTTAAATTTATTTAAGGAGATAAGACACATACACAAAAAGTTGCCTGACAAAACACAATACAGGATATTATGTTTGACCAAATGAGTAGAACCACACAGCTTGTGCTATAGGAATTCTAAGGCGATTGATTCCCATAGGCTGGTCTGGTTAGGAAAGGCTTTACAGAGGAAGTAAAATTGGGTCTTAAAGATCATATAGGATTTGGATTTGTGGAAAGGAATGAAGAGGGAGAACATACAAGGAAAGTCACGAGTAATGCACAAGACCCCAAGTTAAGTGATGAAAAAAGTAATCTGGCTCAAAAAAAAATGTTTGGATGTTAAGGGATTGCATAGGAACTCCTTGAAGTCAGAGATCTTATCACCTTCATTTCATTATTCTCTGCAACCCTAGCAAAATAAGGTCGCATATAGATGATTGTTTGATTCCGAGAGTACCACTAACATTTGTTGAATGACTATTATATGCCAGGTGATCTATAGGCATTGTCACATTTAAGAAACCTAATTACTTTGTGAGTTGTAAATATTAAATATTAAATAACGCATGGTAAATAAATTCTTACTGGACTACCCCAAAACAACAGAACACAGAGGGAAGTCCAACAAACAGGCTTTACTAGATTTCTCTCTGCATGCCACATTTAATTCATATATGCTAAGGTTCCCTTCTGAAAGCAGGTTTTTCTATCTGAATTCCTTTAGAGGAAGGACGAAGTTTCTTTCTGAATCTTGTTTCTTAAAGTCAATATGCTAAAAGGCATATTTTGGAGTGGCAAAATTTTGTTCTTCCTCAAGTGATAGTGATACAATGAAATACAAACTTTAGAAAGATTACTCAGGTACTAGTATGCAGAATGGCTTGAAATTTGGAGATACAAGAACCAGGAATAGATAGTCAGGCCTGTGTCACAATGGCTTCATGAGCAGTGGTGGCACTAGGAATGTAAAGGGAGGATCAAAGTCAGAAGACATTTTAAATAGCTGGAAATAGTCCCAGTGACTAGAGAGATCTGGGAGGCATTTGTATAGAGATGGTAGTTAAACTCTTGAGAGGTGTAGAAGATAATCAAGTGAGAGAATAAGGCTAGGAAAGTACATATAATGTAAAATTTGTAATCACCGAAGCAATGTTGACATACCTCCACTTGGACAAGGAAATGAATGGAGAAAAGGTCGTAGGGGAAAGACAGAATATTAGATGACACTCATAATCAGGGGAGAGCATCACAAAAATACTGTGAATGACAAAGTATTGCCTTTTATAGATGAAAAAGCTGAGGTTGGGGAAGTAGCTTGACTTATGTAACGCCATGAAGCATTTGCAGCTCAACCTAAGGTCTTCCAGATTCCACATTGTGTTCATTTCCCTACTCTTCCCAATCTCTGAGAACCAATGGCTAGAAAGAAGTTTACATATACTGTTATGGTCACTTCCCACATATCAAGGGTTCATGTGGGAACAGAAGATTTTAAAGGAAGAGAGGATATCTAGGACAAGGCAGGAAGACAACCATAGCTGACAACATACGCTAAGACTAAAATGGCATCATTCTTGGTTGAAATCAACCTCTACTGAGTAATGGTGAAATTACTGCAGCATAGGCAGCAAAAGCAGGTGGGGATTGGGAAAGAGATTAAGTACAGATGGTAGAAGGAGAAGGTAAACTGACTTCCTAAATTCTGCATTTGTCTTCTAATTGTGCAGAGCTGATTTTTTGAAGAATCTGTATTTTTTCAATTTAGCCCTCACCAGATTATGACTCCACCATTGCAGCCTTAGCTTAATCTCCCCTGGGAGTGTAACCATGAAGGAAGGAAGGTGATGATTGTGGGGTTTTGTTTGTTTGTTTGTTTGTTTAGACAGAGGGAAAGGGAGGGAGAAAGAGAGTGAGAGAAACATCATTGTGTGCCTGCCTCTCACGCGCCCCTGCTGGAGACCTGGCCTGCAACCCAAGCACATGCCCTACACCAGGAATTGAACCAGCAACCCCTTGCCTCACAGGCTGGCACTCAATCCACTGAGCTACACCAGCCAGGGTGATAATTCGGTTTTTAAGCTCAGGCTTTGATGTCTGCAAGTCTGATTTTAATTCAAATAATTGCTGGAAGGAAGGGTCCTGTGCCAAACAGGTGTGTGGATTGCAGTGGTAAAGAGTAAAAGAAACCCATTTAGCAGAATACTAAAAGCCAGTTTCTGAAATATTGCATTGCCCATACATATCTACAAAACTTTGAGACAGCCAACCATCAGCAAGAAGTAGCAAGAGAAATAGTGCATTGCATTTCCAGAATTGCCTTTCATACTTTATCAATTGCCTTCTGGGTAGAAATATATAAGTGAGATGAGAGAGATGTATGCCAAAGCATTTGCTAACACCTTTTCTCTGAGTTATTTGACAAACATGAGTTGCTCTCTATCCTTCATTGAAGAGCTGGTCCAGTGCAGCTGCTTTCTGTTCAGACTTAAGGACAAGAATACCCTAAGTCTGGGATTCCAGACGAGACAGAATGTTGAACCCCACCATGAAGCCATGATTCCAAAGACATTCTCAGAGCCACTTTTAGTTTTCCACTCTTTCTGGAAGAAAGCAACCTTGTCTCAAGAATCTACCTAGTTAACTGTGGCAAGGGAAACCTACCCTGGCTGGCCTCTGTCTTCTGGAATCCAGACCTCACACTTATGAGGGCACTGTGAATGGCATGTTGATTTCATAAAGTAGAATGTACTAAGCAGAAACTGTAAGGGTCAATCACTGTCAGCTGTTTTTAACCTCAAAGCGTCAAGTGCATTTTACGCAGGAAGTATAAAGAAGGTGACCATCTACACATTAAGCAAGCTGATTCAGGTTGCATTTTGCTCACCAAAAATGCTGGAGGTTGGAAACAAAAACATTTGTAGTATAAATAATGTTGGCTGTTAATTTCAGAGCCTCTTATTTTCTAGATCCCTCATTCTTTTTTAAAAACATACCAACAGCCCTGGCTGGTGTGGTCAGTGGATTGAGCACCTGCCTGCAAACTGAAAGGTCACCAGTTTTGTTCACATGCCTTGGTTGCAAGCCAGGCCCCCAGTAGAGGGCGCACGAAAGGCAAACATGCAATGATGTTTCTCTCCCTCTTTTTCTCCCTCCCTTCCCCTCTCTAAAAATAAATAAAATCTTTTAAAAAACCCACACCAGCACAAAGTGCTATAACAGCTACCTCAATTATGTCCAGTGGAATAACAGCAAGACAGAGTAATTTTGTGAGTAGCAAGACTCAAAACATTCCATTAAAAGCCACATGATGTTGAGCTGTCATCACAGCTATTTAAGTCAAATACCAGCCGCTATTATAGATCAGATAATGTTGATAAATAAAATAATCTTAGTTCATAGTACAGCAGGCTGACTACTCTTGGAATGTGAATGTCTGGGCTGGTTACAAATGCTTCAGTATAGCACAGCAATCTTTAGAGATTTACATATGTCTGCTGACTCTAGGGGTTGAAAAAGAAGGAAATATTCCAGTGAATAAATACCCACCCATACAAGAGGAAAGGGTATTTGATCACCTTCACTTTTTTCCTATTTCAGTTTTTTTATTTTTAAATCATTTTTATTGTTATTCCATTACAGTTGTCTCAATTTTTCCCCTTTGCTCTCCTCCACCCAGCCCACTCCCCGCTCCCACAGTCAATCCCCACCCTGCTGTCCATGTCCGTGGGTCATTCATACATGTTCTTTGACTAGTCCCTTCCCCTTCCTTCTACCATTGTTCCCCTTCTCCGTCTTCTCTGGTTACTGTCAGTCTGTTCAATGTTTCCATACCTGTGTTCTATTTTGTTCATTAGATTCCTCTTATTGGTGAGATCATATCGTATTTGTCTTTCACTGACTGGATTATTTCACTTAGCATAATGCTGTCCATTTCCACCCATGCTGTCATGAAGGGTAGGAGTCCCTTCTTTCTTTCTGCTGTGTAGTATTTCATTGTGTAAATGTACCACAATTTTTTCATCCATTCATTTACTAATGGGCACTTAGGCTGTTTCCAGCACTTAGCTATTGTAAATAATGATGCTATCAACATTGGAGGGCATAGGTTCTTTTGAATCAGGGCTCTCAGGGTATATTCCCAGCAGCATAATCGCTGGGTCAAAAGGCAGTTCCATTTTTAATTTTTTGAGGAAATTCCATACTGTTTCCCACTGTGGCTACACCAGTCTGCATTCCCACCAATAGTGCATTAGGGTTCCCCTTTCTCCACATCCTTTCCAGCACTTCTTGTTTGTTGATTTATTGATGGTAGCCATTCTGACACATGACCACCTTCCCTTTTCAACCTTACAGATTATTCAGACGGTTCATCATCTCTTGCGGTGGAAACAGAAACGTAGCAGTTTTCACATTTCCTGCATCTCTAAGACAGGTCAGTATTCTGAGGGAGGCACGTAGAATGCAACCTGGACTACTAAGAGACAGCTTTGGGAGGTACTAGGAAAGGAGTAGGTTGTCACTCTGGTGAACAAGATGTTAAATTCTTCACTCTTGTATTGTTCATATAAGTAGCAGTTCCAAACATAATTTCCCTGTGTAATGTACTAAAAAAGATACCTTTATTCTCTGTTAACTCACACTAGTCTCTTGGACTAAAAGACCCCCAGGGTATCCAGAAACTGTCAAATATCCCATTCAGGTTACGTGCTTTCATGCTATGAATTATAAATCTTGTTCTGGTGCATTTTAGGCCTCTAAAATGATATAGATTACAAATAGGGTCTTTTTTTTTTCTACTTTATTTTTATTGTTGACACTCTTACCGATGTCCCCATCCCCCATCGCCTGCCTGCCTCCCCCTTCCCTGCGGCCATCACTACCCTGTTGCCTGTGTCTATGGGTCATGCATGTATGTTCTTTAACTAACCCTCTCACCTTCCTTCATCCAGCCCCCCCAGCACTACCACCTCCCCTCTGACCACTGTCAGTCTGTTCCATTCCTCTGTCTCTATTTTGTTCATCAATTTATTTTGTTCATTAGATTCTAGGCTCTTTCCGCCTGAGTCCATTATGTCAGTTAACAATCTACTCTTACCCGCTCACAGGAAAAAGCACCATTCTTACACTCCAGTTCTCCCAAAACGCTACTAATTTGTTCAGCAGTGTCAGGCAGCCTTACACATGAAATTGTCTTTGGTCTAGTGAAAAGCTAAACAGCCTTCTCTTTGCAACATTCACAAGTAAATAATCCAGTGTAATTTAATATTAAATGGAGATTTTTTAGGGATAGAAAAACCATTGAGTTCAAAGCTCTGATCTAATAAACCTGCCAATTGTATTCCCATGAAAAAGCTAGCAATTATTAAGAAGCCCATCAGTCTGTTTATGGGCTCTCAGGTCTTCACTTTTTTTCCCTTATAAAACCCTCCTGTATGCCAGGATAGCTGCTTTATAACACCTTGTATTTGCCAGCCCCTTTGCTATTGTATTTGATTTATGTTATCTCATTTAATCCTCGCAGCAACTCTGTGAGGTGAATGTTATTATTCCCATTTTACTTATGAGAAAGCTGAAGTCCAGAGAGTTTAAATCACCTATCTAGCTAGTCAGCGGATAAACTAAAATTGCAAATCAGGTCAGTCTGACCTCAGAGCATGCTCTTAACACTATGGCACTACATTTAAAAATATGGCTTTGACTGTTTACCGGTACCTTCACTTACAATCAAAGGTTAAAAACAGGAAAGAATTAAATGTCTTTTTATCCAAAGCCCTAATGAAATCTTTGATATTTAAGTGAAACAACCCTGTATGGTAGCATTTGGATTTCAGTTATCCATAGTATATACCTCTCACATTTTCTTATTTTCACATTTTACTATGGATATTCTATGAAGCACTAGTACTTTGACATGTTAACAGATGTTGAAGGGGAATGAAGTTCTCTGTTGAAATAAATTTAGGGAACCCTGCATCAGCAAAATTAGAGGCTTGTCTTTACCATAGGGATTCTCAAGACTTCTACTATACAAATGAGTTTTGTGACTCTCCAAAAGGAGGTTGTAGTAGCCCTCTGAACCTATTTGACTAAAGTTATTTTATTTTGTGCAGATCATGGAACCTTGTCTTTAATGTAGTACTTATCAAGACTTACAATATACTAAGGAACTTTGTCAATCCCCAAAAGTGGAATAAATCTTACCAAACTTACATTACCATATATCTCTTTTTTCAGAACATCTTGAGGGAATGTTAAATCATAAAATATATTTTATTATGATTTCTTTGATAAGAAAAATTGCTTTTAAGCAATGCTTTTCTTGGGCACTCTGTTAAAATAAATTAAATGATGAATTTTGTAGGAAGAGTGGGAAAATCATTTCTAAACTTATCAAGATATGAAGAATTTTTAATGTATATAGATAATAATTGTAGTGATATTTTATAAAAGCTCCAAATAGAAAACAACCTAAATGTCCATCAATAAAAGAATGATTGAATAAGTTATGTATGTCTAGGTCCAAACTATTAGATGCTTTTTATGTATTTATTTTTAGAAGTTTTAAAAATTAAAATATGAAGAATAAAGCAAATACCCACCTATTTACAACTTAGAATGAACAAATGCTAACATATTTTTAATTTTTAAAAAATTTTTATATATAAAACATTGCCATATTTTTACACAAAAAGCATGGATTCTAGATGATATTTTCTTCAGAATGAAAATATAAACTTGGAAAAATATTCATAAAATATATAAAACAAAATTTAACATCCTTAATTTACAGAGATCTTGGAAATCAGTAAAAAAAGAAAATCACAACAGTTAAAAAATGGGGAAAGGTACAATTGACAAAATAAAAGTAAAAAATGAAAAATAAACATAATTTCTCTCAACTTCATTAGAAAACAATACAAAATAAAATGACCCCAAAAATAAATTTTTGTCTACAAAGCAGTCAATTTGTGTAAGTTAGATACCTAGTTTTGGCAAGGATAGGTGGAAAACAGGTGCTTTTTAAATTTTTATTGTGCTGAGGTTATGTTGAAATCTAAATTATTTAGATTTCAAGGTTACAATTCTATCTGTGTATTATGTGTTCACCACCCCAAATTTACCACTTATCTCCCCTTACCCTCTTCTACCTCCCTATCTCCTTTCCCTCTGTTAATCACCATACTAATGTCTGTGTCTGTGAGTTTTTTTGCTTAATCCCTTCACCTATTTCACCAAACCCCCCAAATCCCCCTTCGACAGCTGTTAGTCTGTTCTCTGCATCTATGAGTCTGTTTCTATTTTGTTTATTTTATTCATTAGATTCCACATATAAGTGAAATCATATGGTATTTGTCTTTCTCTGATTGGCTTATTTCACTGAGCATAATACTATCCAGGTCTATCCATGCTGTTGCAAAAGGTAAGATTTTCTTCTTTTTTTACAGCTCAGTAGTATACCATTGTATAAATGTACCACAGCTTTTTTATCCACTCATCTACTGAAAGCACTTGGGCGGCTTTCAATTCTTGGCTACTGTAAATAGCACTACAGTGAACATAGGGGTGCATACATTCATTCAAATCAGAGTTTTGGATTTCTTCAGATATAATTCCATAAGTGGAATTACTAGGTCATAAGGCAGTTCCATTTATAATTTTCTGAGGAAAATCTGTATTGCTTTCCACAGTGGCTTCCCCAGTCTGCATTCCCACCAACAATGCAGAAGGGTTTCTCTTTTTCCACATCCAGCACTTGTTTGATTTATTGACAATAGTCATTCTGACAAGTGTGTGATATCTCATTGTGGTTTTAATTTGCATTTCTTTGATGATTAGTGACATTGAACATCTTTTCCTATGTCTATCAGTCATCTATATATCCTCTTTGAAGAAGTGACTATTCAGGTCCTTTGCCCAAAATCCAATTGTTGAGAGACAAGGATTGGTGCAAAGGAAGTGGGTTTAAGGGCCAGCAGCCTGAGAAGAGGGAAGTCTAATTTCACAAAGACCATATTAACATCTCAGTCAGGCAAGCATTTTTTATGAGCCTTGAAGGGTTAGGAAGAACAAAGGAAACTGGTGGGAGGAGACTCTCCATTGAAGGTGCTATGCATTACTCAGCACGGAGTGCTCCAATAACCATCTCAGAGCCAATCAAGTGTTGGTTTGCTTTTTGTCATCCTGGTTTTACTGTCGAAGGGGAGCAAATGTCCTGGAGCTAAAATGCCTGAAGGCTGGAGTCTGCTTCCTTTGAGGCTTCCTCCTAGAGTCCTTTAAGGAAACAGACAGCTAATCCATGGCTACATGTGAATTTGCAAGTCATTATTTACAGAAACAATTTTAAGAGAATGGTGGCGTGGGTTACACCAGTTCTTAGGGTTGCTGACAATGTGCTCTTCATCCCGACATGAAAGGTGAGGAAAGGCAAGCTCTCAGAGGTTGGGGAAAGCTGATCAGGCTCTCTTGCTATGTTTCTCTGTCTGAAATGCCAATTGCCAGACACTCGTGGCCACACCTCTGTGCTTCCTCTCTGCCCAGGTCACTGGGCTCAGATGCAGTTTGTACTGCCCACTCCTGCAAGAATGCTCTCTAAATCTCTTTGTTCCTACTGGCTGAAGGGAGTGCCATTCCACAACCTGATTTCTCCCCTCTCCGGGCTGAGCCCCACAGTGAGTGCTGGGCTGCTGGGCTGTGTCTGTGGCTCATCTCTGTTTTTCTCCCTTCCCACTACCCCAGTTCACTCCCATTTGCCCACCTTTAGATGTTTCAATGAACAGATCTGTCAGACATGTTTGTGCATTGAGTAGGAATCCTTTGTTGAATTACAGCTGTTCAAATTGTTGAAACTCAAGGGGAAAGACCAAGGGGGGCCTCTCATGCCACCATTCCTCTGACCTAGGGTCCCTTTTAAAAATACATTAAACATACTTATAACAGAAAAGATAAAAAAAACTATGAATAACATTAAAATCATCCATAATCCACCACTGAAAGATTACTTATATTAACATTTGTCTGTATCCCCTCAAATATTTTCTATGAATGTATTTTTTAAACATTGAGATCATATTGCATTCAGTTTTGAGTTCTGCTTTTTTTAACTAATGCCAAAAATAATTTCCCATTATATCAAGGCACTCTTACTCATTTAACCAATTCACTGCTGCCCAACATTAAGATTTTATCTAATTTTCACTATTATGAATAAGGCTGCCAATAATATCATTGGGCATAAATCTTTTTCCTAATTAATAATCATTTTCCTAGGATGAAATTCTAGAAGCAAAATCACTTGTATGAACTTTTTAATGACTCTTAATATATATACCAAATTGTTTTCTAAAAAGCTGATTCTATTAATAGCTACCTGAGTGCCTACTAGATTCAAAATATCATTTTAGATAGAGTTTATTATGCCTAGTTTATAGATAAAGAAACTAAGTTCAATTGATATTATTTGTCTAGAGTCACAGAAATAACAGGTAGCAAAGCTAGAATTCAAAATCAGAATTGCCCAATTTCAAAGCTGATGTTATTTCCATGTGCACTTTAAAATATAAATTGTTTTGCATGATGATATTATTATATAATACTGGAGAAAATGTGGAAAATACAAGTAGAAAGTAGAGAAAATAAAAATAAATTATCCATGAATCTACCACTTACAACAATTTAGTATATTTCCTCAGGATTTTGTTCAAAATAAATTACTAGGTTAAAAATAACTATATTATATTGCATATATAATTTTGCATTCTGCTTTTATTACTTAACATTTTCAATGCTGACCCATATTCTTTATAAACATAATTTTAACAGTTGCACATTATTGTCAATGGATGTTACCATGTATATACTTAAGTTGTTCAGCTCACCTGTGAATTTCTTTTTATTCCTAGGATCATCTGTCTCCCATGAAGCTTATAGAGGTCAATGTTGAGAACCATTCTAATCTTCAAAATAAGTCACCATGGCGGATTGAAAGCTTCACTATATGAAAGCATTTTATCAAATACGTGCTGTGAAAATAGGTGTTTCAGAACTTTACAAGTCATTTAATTTGCTGACTGCATTCATCAATCTGGTAGCAGTTAATACCATCCAGTCTTCCTCTATTTCTCCCCCCACCCTCTGCCCGCCTCAATCTGTGAAAGCCTAAATGCATATAAATCTTTCTAGGGGCTATTTGCATTCTTCTTATAAGGTAAAGCAGAATTCAAAAGACTTTCTTGGAGTCTTTAACTGCCCTGGAAAGTCTATTAATTATATCTATAGGGTCTTTGTGGAATTGAGGGGAATCAGACTACAGACTACATTTGCTGCTTGTGTGCATGTGCATTTACAAGCATGCATATATGTAGTACATTTACACAAAATTCTGCTATGGTATTGTGAAAATCAAGTTTAAAAGTCTGAGGTTTTTATTCAATAATTTTTTTTCTAAATAGCAATTTAAATATATGCTGAACTGTGAACACCATCCCTATATCAGGTACCTACATTCAAGAGAGAAATTCAAAACACTGTGATCAGAGTCCTCAAATTGGGAACTGAGCAACAATGTAAATGTAAAACCTGATTTCTGTTATAGATGTGTGGTGTTCCTGAAAGTACCAGCTAGTAGGGAGGATCAGATCAGATCAGATTTCTACTTTATTAAATATAACAATTAGTATTTTACAGACTTTTAATGCCAGCCTAAGGTAAAATTCTCTGATTGCTTTTATTCTTTTTTCTGCTACTTAGCTCTATTTTAGCCTTTATGAATTATTGTTATGATGAAAGAAAAACCTATATGCCTAAGTTATAGACCATCGATTTTATTAAGGGGTTTAGTGGTGATTTTCAGGTTTAATTGCAATACTATTCATCAGGATAAAATTTTACAATTGAAATTGGCCTAAGGGTTAGCACTAAAGATCTGTGTTTTCATAGCAAGCGTTAGTGTACAGATAGTGATAATCTAATAGTAATATGACAATTCTTTATTTTTGTTTTTTGGGTTTTTTTTTTTTTTGGTTTCAGTGGTATCTCAGCCATGAAGATAGTTTACATTCATTTCCCCATTGACTTATAATCATCCATTATTTTAGTCCCAGTACCTAAATTAATAAGTATGGACACTAATGCTGCTTCTTTATAATAATAAAAACACCTAAGAGTATTGATGATTTTTGTTTCTCAGGCAGTGCTCTAGTGCCCAGCTCTTGACCATAGAAGTCCCAGCTCTTACAGAGATCAGTGAGTGTTACAGGCATCTTACAGATATCAAGGAGTTGAGCTCCTGGAGGAATGTTAGGTTTACTTTTATTTTCCCTAAAACCTTATTGAGTAGAAGGAGTTGCCTGCCACAATCAACTCAGAGTTCAGGCTCCAGTGGAGCTGAGAAAGTGAGCAATCCAACTACTTAAAGCAACAAAAGACCTGTCTATTTGGATTCTCTAGGTAATTTTGGTCAAGATAAGACTTTTATCATAAATTAAATTGATTGTGGCTAGCATATCACTTGAGGGAATACTAGACATTACTAAATGTATCAGGGCCAGGGACTGTTTCTCACTCAGACGCTAAGAAGCAGCCTAGAAGACTATGCATACTGGATTTCACAATGAAATTCTTTATGTTCAGATGGGAAGAGTTTTCCCCTTCCTCTCTCCCTCCAAGACACTCTCTTGTTTAGGTTTCTCTTGAAAGCTTATTTGGCCATTCACACGGTCTTCTGATGGATAAGATTTGCCTTCTGTTCGTATAGAAATGCACCTTTAAAGGTAGGCCTATTACTTCATAGCCAATGGGCCTCAAAGCAAGCTTCCCCCTTTTCCATGTATCATATTCTGCCAAGGGTTTAGGCATAGTAACTGCTAACTATAATTCAAAGTCAGAAAGGAAGCAAGAACTTCTTTGATGCATAGAGTCTATTAGCACTCACAGAAATCAGGTCATAAAGCTCAGGAAAGGTACAATGCATAGCTGACAGATTTACAGTCTTCAAAAGGCCAAATAAGTCAGTGTTTTTACTGGGAGCTTAGTGAAATAAAGAAACCTTATTCCTATCTCAGTACCTTGATCTCACTATTTCACAGACTGATAATATCCATAAGTTATTGAGTATTGACTACTGTACATAAGCATTCCTCCAGTTGGTTTATTATTGAAAACACAGAGAGATTTGTTTGATAATTAGCATATCCTGATTTGGCTTCTTTGACTGCTTTTCCTTGTAGCCCTGTCCAGTAACCTCTGTGGGATCTCATTCCCCAGTCTTTGGTACCCATTCTTCCGCATTTGCAACATGAGGATACTCATTAGGATCCCACAGCTAAAAGGTGCTATGTAATCTTTAGTGCTCTTATACATGTTATTGCAGGATTAGAATGAAGAGTTTAACCATAACAGTATTTCTAAGTAAACCAGTGTTCTCCATTCTTCCATGTTCTAATTGCTGATTTGTTGTTTCAGAGATTAGAGTACTTTATTAATGTTTTCCATTAATTCCAACAATGTCCTTGGAAATAGACAGAGTAGTAATTATTTCCTATGGTACCGGTAGAAAAATTAAGGGCAAAATAAATGAAGTGCCCTCCAAAGGCATCTAGCTGTCTGGAGCAAAACCATGTCCAGTGCACTGTTAGAGTGACTTGGCTTCTTAGTACTGCAATTACCATACAGAAGCTTGGAATAGTGAGAGCCATTAGGCCAAGGTCACATTTCAGAAGAGTCCTACTTTGTCTAAAATCTGAAAGCATGCGTTTTATGCAACTGTTATTCTCTATGTGATATAAATGTAATATGTGCCTCTGTATCCACTGGCCCCATGTGACACATATTTCACACTACATGGCATCAGCCAGTGTCATTATCTCCTCTGGAAAACCATAGAGCCAAATCTCAGGGCTGACTTTGTCAGTGAAATTAATGTGCTTCCCCATGTTTATGCCAAATTGCACAAAATGTAGACATTGCAGTTAATGGAGACTTAAGCACAACCCTAGCAGGTATGTTTTAAGAAGATTGAATACACATTATTGTAAAGTGCACCTGAAATTTAACATGACCCAAATTCATAGTAATGGAACAGTAATGCAGAGCTGATCCCTGTCCCTTCTCATCACACATATATATTTACATACATGTGTCCACATACACATGCACACACACTGTCTTCCAAAATGGGCTTCTTGGTAATGAGGAGCAAATACTTTAAAGGAATAATTCTCTGTCCTCTCCTTCTAGAAAAGTCCAACAGTCACTGCAAGTGAAAAACATTCCGTTTTTACATCCTAGGACCTCTGCTCCCAGAGTAGCTAAAGTACTCAGTTGGTTCAAAAGAAAACGTTCTGAGTTTCTTTCAGAGTCATGGAAAGCATCTAACAAGATTGTTCGACCCTTCCACAGTCCCATATTATTAGAGACAAGTGATAAGCTCCATCCAATCAGTACAAAATGTTTTATTAAGTATGGTACATCTACATTTCTTTTAACTATAGCTGTAATGTGCCATGTTAAATTGTAGTCTTTTGCATGCAGGTGTTATGTAATATAATAATGAATGGGTGGCTCCTAATAGCATGCAACCCATGAATGTTTACTTCCCCCAAATGAGTAAGGCTGTGTCCCACACAGTGTTCAAAAAACTATTAGATGTGTTCTTTTTAGAAGCCTGGTGTATGGCCATCAGCACAATGAGTTAAAACAGGCAATGAATGTAGTGTATCAGGAAATAGAGTCTAAGTAGGAAATGGTGTTAAAGGAAAGGAAAATAACAATAAGATGCATTCAAGGAATAATTGCTTTACTCTGCTGGCTAAATCAGCAAAGAGACACAGCAGAGAAACCAGTACTGGGTCTTGGCAATATATGAAAAATGTATTGGAGAACCAGAGAAAGAAAGGCCCTGGGCACCTTAGCAAGTAAGCTCAAGTTGCCAATTTGCTCCAAGTCCTTCTTCCCTCCAATCTGCTCAAAGTAATTATATACAGTATTTTTAAAACCTTGTGTCTTGCTACAGAAATACCCACAAATACTGATCAGCCTTATCTTCCTATGTCCTTTATTAAAAGTATATGCATAAAATTGTTGTTTCTTTTATATATTATGGTTTTGTTAAATAATGTTGGCAAAGCCTAAAATTTCGTATCATTTTGATAGAAGTTTCTGTACATTTCATTTCATGGGATTATAGCAGAATTTATTAACTCCTAGGTTGATTGGTATGTTTAGTATGTAGACTCCCCTATAACTTCTTGTCTTTCGAGCACATCCCCCATCCTGTGCTCAGTATTTCTCTTATGATCCAACATGGATATGAGTTGAGAAATTAGCAGCAATAACTTTTAGACAGAAAACTGACTAGTCTAATGGCACTTAATTATGTTCAGTCTCTGCTCAGCCTCACACATCTTTTGCTGTTACCTCTGTTACTGTGATAAGTAAAAAGGAAAAGAAAGAACTTATGTACCAAGTGTGATATGAACTCTGGTTCACTTTTTTTTTATACAATTAGGACTATGTTTATTATTCTCCAGATGCATGTCACCTGAAAAAAGAATACAATGATTCTGAGAAAAGTCCACAGTGGTCCACTTGCTTTTAAATTACACATTATCCTTAGAGAAATATATGAAGAGATCCTCATTAAGTAAGCCCCAAATAAAGTTCTCAATAGATACATCATTTGCATAAAAAGTCCTTGTCAGAAAGAATAAAGAATATCCCCCTCAATTAGCCAACAAGGAGGCAGAAATCATTGAAAAACTCACAGCATTAAAAGCTGAAGTTTGGAAGTCGTTGACTGTGAATAAATAATGGAGAACTTGAATCACTTCAGAGAAGCCAACCCACAAAAATCAGGCTTAACACAAAACCAGAAAGAAGTTTTTTATTTCAGTAAAGCTCATTTTTAAAAAGTACTTACTTTATCCTAGGTGAATGCTTCAAACATCTCTGCTGAAAATCTCATTTTATCACCCACAACAGCTTGAATTTGCATCACAAACACAATGTAAAAAATTCAAATACTAGAAACAAAGGACAACTAATTTTTTTCTAGATAAAAAAGGCATAAAAGAGGCAAATTGTATACAAGAATCTTATTTGAGTAGAGATTCCTAAGGAAATTCAAGATAATAGATGTTTAAAAGGAAACTACACAGAGAAATATAAAGATATATGTACAATGATTTCTACGGGAATGCATAAACATATTGACATGCATTTCTATAGTTTATAAACAATAAAATTTTAAAATTAATTTTCTCACCATATACAGGAACATTGAAAAACTACTCAGTTTCTCTTTGAATATTAAAATAGTCATTCTCACAGTGTAGTATTATGTTTCAATGTTTAGACAGACTTCTAA